ACTGGCCTGTCTCCCAAGATTTGTGAGAGTGTTGGGTCATCCTTCAGGATAGGTTGTAGATCCTTAATAATGTGTTGGAGGGGTTTTAGTTGGGGGCTGAAGGTCACCGCTAGTGGCGTTCTGTTATTTTCTTTGTTAGGCCTGTCCTGTAGTAGGTGACTTCTGGGAACTCTTCTGGCTCTATCAATCTGTTTCTTCACTTCCGCAGGTGGGTATTGTAGTTGTAAGAATGCTTGATAGAGATCTTGTAGGTGTTTGTCTCTGTCTGAGGGGTTGGAGCAAGTGCGGCTGTATTGCAGACCTTGGCTGTAGACGATGGATCGTGTGGTGTGGTCAGGGTGAAAGCTGGAGGCATGTAGGTAGGAATAGTGGTCAGTAGGTTTCCGGTATAGGGTGGTGTTTATGTGACCATTGTTTATTAGCACTGTAGTGTCCAGGAAGTGGATCTCTTGTGTGGACTGGACCAGGCTGAGGTTGATGGTGGGATGGAAATAGTTGAAATCATGGTGGAATTCCTCAAGGGCTTCTTTTCCATGGGTCCAGATGATGAAGATGTCATCAATATAGCGCAAGTAGAGTAGGGGCGTTAGGGGACGAGAGCTGAGGAAGCATTGTTCTAAATCAGCCATAAAAATGTTGGCATACTGTGGGGCCATGCGGGTACCCATAGCAGTGCCGCTGATCTGAAGGTATACATTGTCCCCAAATGTAAAATAGTTATGGGTAAGGACAAAGTCACAAAGTTCAACCACCAGGTTAGCCGTGACATTATCGGGGATAGTGTTCTTGACGGCTTGTAGTCCATCTTTGTGTGGAATGTTGGTGTAGAGGGCTTCTACATCCATAGTGACCAGGATGGTGTTATCAGGAAGATCACCGATGCCCTTGGGAGACACAGAGGCCAGCTCTCTAACTTTGAAAGAGTGGATCCCCTTCCATGTAGGAAGGTGACACTGAAAGGATGCTTTAGGTAAGAAGCTTATCTTAGACAAAGATTGTGGCTTGTTGAGTTACTTTTTAATCACTAGAAAGCATGATTATACAGTAGAACCCCATTTATCTGACCCTCCATTATCTGGCTCTCCGTATTAACTGAACAACCAGTGCGCACAGGTCCAGAAGCGGGTGATCTCTCCGTGGCTGCTAGATGGCACACAGCCTCACGCTTTCCCATTCTCTGGATTAGCTGAATTTTTGATTATCCAATCTGGCCCTGGTCCCAATTAAATTGGATAAACAAGGTTCTGTTGTATTTTTGTTTTATCTGTAACCATTTTCTGTTTCTATTATCTCTACTTAGAATCACTACAATCTCTGTTCTTTATTAATAAACTTATTATATTATAAATTCAGTTCAGTCCTCAGCTGAGCCAACAGGCTGGTGTGTATGCTGTCTCTTTAGAGGCAGCAGACTTGGTAATTTCTGTAAGTGTCCAATGATGGGCTGGATACTGCAGAAGAATGTTCTTCCATGGCGTTCAGTAACTGGAGGCTTCAAGCGTAACCTGCAAGAAAAGGACTGGCAGAATCATGAGGAGTTTGGTCAGCTGGCTAACAGACTGCAGTCTCAGGGAGCTGACACACAGTTTAGCAGCAACAAATCTCTCTCTTGTGGAGGCACAGGTGTTACAAGCAGGGCCGTCCTTACCCATATGCAAAGTACACAGCTGCGTAGGGCACCAGGAAATTTGGGTCACCAAATTCCCTGGTGCCCTGCGCAGCTGCGTGCTCCTCCAGCCTCTGCCCCGCCTCTTCCTCAGGGCACCCCCCTTGCTCCACCCCAGCCCTGCCTCTTCCCGCCCCGAGGACTGCAGCAGGGCTGGCCTGCACTCACTGGCGGTGGGAAGTGCAGCGACCTAGTCCCAGCTGTGCCCCTGGTGAGTGCTGGGGGGCGTTCCCCCTGTCCCCCAAGCCAGCCCTGCTCCCCCGCCCCGCGGAGGCCTGGGGCCAGTCTCCACCCTCCCCCCCGCATGGAGGCCTGGGGCCCCACAAACCCTCCCCGCGGGGGGGCTGCATAGAGCCCCAAAATAGGTAGGGACGGCCCTGGTTACAAGATGACTCTCTCAGTTCTGGACACCCCGAGAAAGCATCACAGCAATTTATGGTTGGTTCACAAAACTGAAAACAACTAGGAGCCAAATCAGCTGGAAGGACGAACTTAAACAGAAAAATGTGAATGACAATTGGGCAGTGTTTAAGAACACTTTACGAAATGCCAAAAAAGTCATAATCCCACAACTGAGGGAAGGCCACACTGGTTAAAAAAACCAATCTGGTTTAGAGGGGAAGTGAAGGTGGCTATAAAAACAGTATATAGCAAATGGAAGAAAGGGGAAGCTGAAGGTAATGAATATGGAACAGAAGCTGGGAACTGTAGAAAATCGATAATGGAAACAATGACAAGAAGAAACCTATGACCAGCATTGTTAAGGACAGCGAGTTATTTATAATGAGAACAAAAAGAATCCTAACAGTATTATCTATTACTATATAGAAACAGTATTATTAATGCAGAAAAAGCAGAAGTGTACCATAGATATTTCTGTTCTGTGTTTGGGAAAGAAACTGATGTCATATCATGGACTGTTGATACACTTTCCATTCCCGTTTCTCATCATAACTCAGGAGGATTTTTAAACTGCAGCTGCTAAAGGAGCACCTTGTTAAATCAGCACATCCCACTAACTTACATCCAAGAGTTTTAAAAGAACAGGAGCTTGCTGGACAATTAATGTTAATTTTTCAATAAATCTCGGACTACTGCAGAAGTTCCAGAAGACTGGAAGAAAGCTAATGTTGAGCCAGTATTGAAAAAGGGTAAACAGGATGACCTGCATATTTATAAGCCTGACACTGATCCAGGGAAAAATAATGGAACAGCTGATATGAAAGGAGAGCAATATAATGCCAATCAACCTGAGTTTATGGAAAATAGATCTTGTCAGGCTAACTTTATTTTTGATGAGATTACAGGTTTGATTGATAAAGATATTAGTGCTGATGTAATTATATGTAGTTTTCTGTAAGGCATTTGACTTAGTGCCATGTGACATTTTTAGCAAAAACCTAGAATGAGCCAAAATTTACATGGCACACATTAAAAAATGACTAACTGGTCTCTGAATGTAATTGTAAATGGGGAATTATCATGGAGCAGCTGTGTGTTTAGTGAGGTCCCATAGGTCTTGGCTCTTGGCCCTACACTAATTAACAATGTTATCAATGACCAGGAAGTAAACATGAAATCATCTCTGATCAAGTTTGCGGAGGACCCAAACAGTGGGAGAAGGATAAGTAATGAAGATAGGACACTGATACAGGGCAATCTGGATTGCCTGATAAACCAGGCACAAAGCAACCAAAATATGCATTTTTATGTGGTTAGCAGTAAGTAGAGTCATTCGTCTAGGGAACAAAGAATGTAAGCCCTCCTTACAGGATAGGGGACTTGATCTTGGGAAGCTGTCATAGTAGATAATCAGCTGACCGTGGCTGTGACCAAAAGTGCAGATACTGTGATCCTTAGCTGTATAAACAGCCAGATCTCGGGTAGGAGTAGAGAGGTTATGTCACCTGGTGTGCCCACTGCTGGAATGCTGTGTCCAGTGCTAGGATCAGCAGCTGCAGAAGGAGGGTGATCCAGTGGCGAGGAAGCAGAGAAGAACCAGCAGGATGTGACTAAAGGATTACAAAACATCTCATGGTAGGAGCTCGATGTTCAGGCGTGAGACTGGACCCGCGCAGGCCAAGGGGCTCTCCAGCCTGGCAAAGAACGGTGAGACACGTGTCGGGGCTGGCAGCTGAAGCCGGACCCATGCAGCATGGCACCCAAGCGCACAGTTAACAGTGAGGTGCTGGGCCAGGGGGGTTATTTTACATGGGGAAGGGGGGCTCCATCATTCCCAAGGATTTGATCCAGCTGAACCGGCTCAGTTGAGCCTAGGGTGACCAGACAGCAAGTGTGAAAAATCGGGACGGGGGTGGGGAGTAATTGGAGCCCAAATGCTAGTAGTTCTCAAACTTTTGTACTGGTGACCCCTTTGACATAGCAAGCCTCTGAGTGCAACCCCTCCTTATAAATTAAAAACACTTTTAATATATTTAACACGATTAAAAATGCTGGAGTCAAAGTGGGGTTTGCAGTGGATGCTGACAGCTCACGACCCCCCCTCCCCCCGTGTAAGACCTGTACGACCCCCCTAAGCGGTCCCGACCCCCAGCCTGAGAACCCCTGCTATATAAGGAAAAGACCCCAAAATCGGGACTGTCCCTATAAAATCGGGACATCTGGTCACCCTAGTCCAGCCAGGTGCTAAGAGGAGGCGGCTGGGGCCAGCTCTAGGCAGCAGGTCAGACTAGAAGCTTCTGCAGCTTCTTTCTGCTCCACCGGTCCCGAGTTCGCCGCCCCCGGGCCCCTTTTGCTCGGTCTCCGTTCCCGGCCGCGTGCGTCGGGCCTCAGGGCGGCGCTGCAGTTCAGACCGCCACGGCAGGGGGGCGCTGTGCGCGCGGCTGGCAACGGGCCGATATTTTAACTCTTGTCCCGGGCGGAGTGGCTCGTAGCTCGTTGGAAGTCTCGCGAGACTGTACGCGGCTGTTCCGGCCCAGGCCCGCCAGGCAGGCAGACACGCGCGGGGGGGTTGCAGCCATGGCGCTCTACAACTTTAAGAAGATTATGGTGGTTCCTTCCGCGAAGGTGAGTGAAGCTCTTCTTCCGTCCCCCGTCAGCGCCCTCGCCGTGGTAGCGGCCGCTGGGGCTGAGCTGGAGCCATGTGTGTGCCAGGGGCGCCGCCCCGTCCCCAGCGCGTGGGACCTTCGCTGCCCCGTGCAGCCTCCGGCCGTGTACACGGGGCACGGGGAGCTGAGGGGGTGGGGGGGGCAGGGAGTGGAAGTTGGGGGCAGGGGCCCAGCAGAGGAGTTGAGGGGGCGGGGGAGGAGTGGAGTATTGGGCTACGCGCATGTCAGAGGCAGCGCTGCCCTGTGAAACTAAGAGGAGAGCGGGGCGCCTCTCTGGTGCGGGCGGATCCAGCCCCCCCGAACCCTGGGTGCGGTTCTGCTCCGGCTGCCATAGAAAACCACGTCAGCCCGACAGCCGATCTAGTCCTTGGCGTGGTGGCTTCAGGCCGGTTTCGCTGCAACCGTGTTTGCCGTGAACACGTGAAGCGTACTGGGGACAGGTGATGGTTATCAAAGGTCACTGTCTTGTGCTTTTCCAGGAGGCCAGCAAAGTCTTAGTCAAATTTAAACATAAGCACACATTTTCTGTTACAGTCCTTCCTACAGTGCAGAAACTTGGAGCTTGTTAGTCTTTAAGCCAAACTAAGGTGTGACAGGCAGGAGTTTTCTAAATTGTATCATGTAGCAGGTGTGCGTAATCCTGTAATTGTAATCCAGGCTGTTACTGATTTGGTGTCTGGCCTTAAATCTTTGTCTGTACCTCAGTTTCCTTTTTGTAATCTGTTTAGTTACCTGGCAAAGATTAATTACTCTATTTAATAATTATATACTGATTTTACTATGTATGTGCTCAGTATTAACTCTTACAGGGGAGAAATTAAACAATACAAATCTGCAACACAAAGGGTACTGAACATAAGGTACTATCCCAAGTAGTGATTATTATAAGGAATTCATTGTCCTGTGATAATCTGAGGTATCATCACTGCTATGTGCGTAACCCTGTGTATGCGGGAGAACTCCGTCAAAATGACCTATTACTCATGTCTGAAATGTGAATAAAATTGTCCTAGTTAAAAAAGACTTCAACAAATTTAAGATTAAAAGAGGTAAATTCTTGGGACTAAACATAGTAAATCTCTCTCTAAAGGTTCTCTGGGGGATATCAATATAAAGTGGCTACATCCAAGAGAGCTTATACATTTTGGTTTTCCCAGGACAGTCACCTTTTGTTTTTCTTTCTGGCCATCTCTTTCTAAATGCAGAACTGGCCTGCTTTCAATCCTTGTTTTGAGCTTCAGAAGTTCTGTGCCATTGTCAGAGACAGTGCTGATGGGTGCCTGCCTCCTTCAGGCTTCTGCTGACTCTTCTTCGCCCAGCCCTTCATTACCCCTCTTCGGAGACAACTGCTTAAAATCTGTGAAAATGGTGTGAAATTGGCTTTGGAGTTTCATCAGGGTTAGAAGCCTGAGTAGGGTGGTCAGGTGGTTGGAGAAAGGACAGTAATGTGCATATTATAAGGAATTGCCTCAACAGGAAAATATAGAGAAATGTTTTTATTAACAATAACTTATTGTTTCATATTGTATCTATTGTGAGAGTATGCAGGTGCTGCACATGCATAACTCAGTACACAACTCCGAGTGGGTCAATAAAATACTTACCTGGACAAAAACCAAACAACTTCTCCCCTCCTATCTAACATTCAGTCAAAAGGCAGGGGGGGAATGAATTCTTTCATTATGATCTGTGCCCCACCAAACTTGGACTCTGACACAGCAGCAGAGAGGGAGGGAGTTGTAGAGGTTTGGGTCTTCAGCTGAACACCTTACTGCCCGCCCCGATCATTTGAGATCTAGCACTGATAGTGGATACATGGAAGTTCCCTGAACTGTTAAGGAATGTAGGAAAAGGAGGCTGTTTCTTAAATAGCTGAAATGAACACTGGATAAAAGAACGAAGGGTTCTGCTTACAAATTTGTGGGTGGTGCATGGGACTGGAGGTTTGAACTTAATTTAAATGGAAGGACTTGTTTAGATATCTTAAAATTGGAGTGACATGCGATCCATGTTTTTTATTGATACCTTTGAAGCCACACAACAGCTTTTTTGTGTTAAAAAACTTGGTTATCCTACACAATGTGCAAAATTCGTAACTTCCACAACAATGATAGAAAGTGGATGCATTGTATTCTATCAACCTAATTGCAGGTAAAAGTGTGATGTGTGTACTGATTCTTTCAATAACTGCTTAGGTGTCTTTTAAAAACACTTAACTGCTCTGTTTTCCTTTTCTAAATAACTTTCATATTAGAATATGGGTTCTTAGTAATAAGTAATACAGTCTTTGCTGATAATTGTACTTTTCTTTAACTGCAGGACTTTATAGATCTGACATTGTCGAAGACTCAGCGAAAGACTCCGACAGTCATTCATAAGCATTATCAAATCCACCGCATTCGACAGTTTTACATGAGAAAAGTTAAATACACGCAGCAAAATTACCATGACAGACTCACCCAAATCTTAACAGATTTCCCAAAATTAGATGTAAGTGACTTTGGCAATTGATAAGTGAAAGAAAATGTACCTTGAATTCATCAAATCTAATGCTGTGACTGTAAATTGTGGTCTTGTGAGGTTTCGTTGGCTAAGCAAAATCAAGCTTACTTATTTCTTGGATAGGAGACTTCAGAAGAAAAATTTATATCTGCAGGAAGAAGTATTGATAACTCAGATGGCTCTATTTCTTTTGAGTAAAGTTCTGAATCAGGGCTCGAACAGGGTTTTGGGGCAACTTTTTCCTGGAGCTCACATCTTGTAGACAAGAGGTAAAATCAAAGTCTTAACCACTAGTGGTGATTAAAGGTCCCACATCACTTTTTCCAGGAGTGGGAATTTTAGCACTAACTTCTAGATAAATTTAAATTTGATAGAAACTTCAGTTGAATGATGGGTAAAGAAATATAGCCTGTTTAAAGGACTTTGTGACCTCCTATTTCTAGTGAAAGGTGCTAAAGAAGCATAAGGTATTATTATTTTTCACAGTTATTGCCATCCAAATGTTTTGTAGGAAAGAATGAGCGTCCAAATATAGATCTGATCAGTGTGTTTACAGTCTAATGCACTGATCCTGCAGTTGGAGATGTGCAGTTTTCAGTGACTTCAGTGGGGCTTTGTGTATGCCTGTACTTAATCCAGTGCAGAATTGAGACCTTAGTTTGCGTGGGATTTTTTCTGACTTCTATTTCTAATGCCTGATCTCTATTACAAAGTTCTGAAGTACAGCTTCTGTATTTGCTTAACTAGTTTGGTATCTATATAATGTTAAATTTCTAAAAATAAATCACATAGATGGGTAAAATATTCTTTCTAATTCTTTTACAAAGAGATGAACGGATGTGTTGTAAACGCTCTTCAAAAAGAATTGATGTGAAGAAGGTACACTCTTCATATGCTGACGAGTTTATTCAGGCATGAAAAATTGTCTGCCTAACTAGAGATGAATCTTACAGAATTTAGGGTTCAGTGAAAGAGAGGAATTACTTTGCTATGTTCCCACAATAGCAGAAGTATGTTAGAAAAAAGGCTGGCACTATACAGTATGCTTGCAGTTTCCCTCTATACAATATAATCTTGCATTTTTTCCTTTTTAACAAAAAATATTCTTACAAAGAAAAAGGCACAAGCAGAAATTTAGCCTAAGTCCAATGAAAAATAAAGCAGGAAATCAAAGTTATGGAAAAAACATTCAAATTCATGGATAAGCAGATTGTTTTCTTTAAAGATTATTAGATATGGAGAATGGTCTTCAGTTTGTATTTGTCAGCGGTGCCACTGGTTTCTTGTATCTATGAAAAAGTTGAAATCAGCAGTAAGAAGTCTTTACATTCATGAAAAAAACATTCAGAAAAGGTTTTGATTAATTTATTTTATGCTTTTTTAGGATATCCATCCTTTTTATGCAGATTTGATGAATGTTCTCTATGACAAAGATCATTATAAGTTGGCCTTAGGACAGATTAATATTGCCAAGAATCTGATTGACAAGTAAGATACCTTAATTTATTTTTCTGTGGCTTGTTTTTGTCATAACAGCAGATTAATGTTTTCTTTCCTCCCGCAATAGTGTTTCTAAGGATTATGTGCGCCTGATGAAGTATGGCGATTCTCTTTATCGATGCAAACAGTTGAAACGGGCAGCTCTGGGACGTATGTGTACAATTATCAAAAGGCAGAAGCAAAGTTTAGAATATTTGGAACAAGGTATGTATTGCAAATATGGTAAAATGAAGCATTTTGAAGAGAGAATTTAAAATATAGACTTATGCCTGAAGACTTTTTACCAATTGTTTTTATAAATAGCATCTAAACTTACTTTAACTGAAAGAGGTTTGAGGAAAAATATTTTTTCTTTTTTCAGTTTATTTACTTTGGGAAATTATCAACATGTTGTGGCTAGTTAGTTTCACTGTTTTTCCTGAGTAGTCAGTCAAATACACCGGCTTTTTCTGAGATTTTTTTGCATGGCAAGAGGAGAGGGAAAAAGGTTTTTAAAAAAACAGGAAAGTATAATTGGCGCAGGAGCCTTGGAAAGATTGAGTACCTTGAAGAATTCTTAACTTGTTTCTAAAACTGATTAGATTTCTTGTTGTTTGCAGTGGTGTTGTAGCCCTGTTGGTCCCAGAATATTAGAGAGACAAGGGGAGGTGACGTAATAACTTTTATTTGGCCATCTTTTGTTGGTAAGAGAGACAAGCTTTTGAGCTTACTTAGAGCTCTTCAGGTCTAGGAAAGGTACTCGGAGTGTCATAAGCTAAATGCAAGGTGGAACAGATTATTTAGCATAATGATCCCCTGAAATGTGTTAACTACATTTGCTAAACAGTCTGTTGTACCTGTTATTTAGCTGAGACACTCTGAGTACGTTTCCCAAACCTGAAAGAGAGCTCTGTGTAAGCTCAAAAGTTTGTCTGTCTGCAACAAATGATGGTCCAATAAAAGAAATTATCTCGCCCATCTTGTTGGCAGATGCATTGCATTCACAGTTAATTATGTTTGTACAATGCATTTTTCCTAGTATTTGATTTACTTTGACTAAATGATATAGGCTGTCATTATTTATCTGTATCAGTTCGTTGCCTCTGATTTAATAGAGGCCAAATATTTTTTATACATTCTGCTCTGTAGCCCTCTTTGCCTCTTGTTCACATTATATCTAATTGAGGGGGATGATGTGTTAATTAAAATATAATATTTACAAGAAAGTCACACTTTATATTAAGGTTCTATTTGTAAATAGATTATCCAGGTTAATAAATGTTTTCATAAATGGTTAATTGTTAAAAGGCCAATAGGTTGTTCATAACCATCTAGAACACCTTCTACTGATGTACTTATAACTATAACATATTCAACTCATTCTTGTAACGTGCTTTCTTAATAATTTAACAACACTTTATGAACCACTTACAAATGGAAACTTAATGCAAAAATATGTCTAAATTAAATGTGGTTTATGAATAATGTTTCTGAATAAAATCAGAAACTTTCCCATCTACAAAGAAAGATGTCTTCCTTCTGTTTAGTACATTTAAACTTTATTTTATCACCCATGTAATTCAATCAAGCTTTTTAAACTTTTCAGTGCGACAACATTTGTCCCGTTTGCCAACTATTGATCCCAATACACGAACTCTTCTGTTGTGTGGCTACCCAAATGTTGGAAAATCGAGCTTTATAAATAAGGTATGTGAGTTTGTTGTAAAAAATATTACTTCAAAGTTTAAATAATTTGAAATATTGGGACTCTACCCAAGGATCTTAGCTAGCAGGTGTCTGTACAAGGTTAGGGATTTAGTATGAATCTCAGGGCTGTAGAAGGAAATGAAAAACAGATTTATTTTTAAATCAATTTATTGTATCATAAGCTTCCCCAGCGTCGTGAAATTTTTCTCTCAGAGAGAGCAAAAAGTGAATTAACCTTCTATAGAAAATCATTGAGACTAACCACTTTGGTGTAGTAAAGGAAGTGCATTATAATTGATATGCTGCTGTCAGGAAAATAATTGTCTCAGTAAATGAAAAAAAATCTTTATTTGGGGATTTTTCTTGTTTTAAGGTGACAAGAGCAGATGTGGAAGTGCAGCCTTATGCCTTTACCACAAAATCCCTCTTTGTGGGACACATGGATTATAGGTATCTGCGTTGGCAGGTAAGAGCTATTGCTAACTTACTGCTCTGTTTCCACAGGAATGAATTGGTTAGGATCCTGTTGCTGTTGAGAATACCATTTTGTTTGCTGATGGCTGTTTCTAAAGTACTGTACCTAGAGAACTGCTGTGTAAGATCTCTCTTTACTGAGAGATGTACTGAGTAAGGTCAGCTATCAGAAGCTATTCTAAAAATGTAGATCCTGGGGTTTTTCAGTTGCTGGGAGGGAAAGGGCACTTGCATAACTCCTGAGTAGTAACGGAAAGTGATTCATCTCCAGACTGGATCAGGTCAGGGCAGGTCTCCCTCCCTCTGATTCAGTCCAAGTGAAAATGCATGGAAACTCCAGGTAGTCTTTCCTTGTATTACTATGATACTCTTTTCTCTGACTATAATTTGAAGTACTCAGTCTCATCTTATTTTAACACGAATACTATTGTCGTCTTATTCATTTTTCATGTTCTTACTTTGAATGAATTTACAAACTTGTGGTTGAAAGGAAACAATATATATAGTTGCTATTGTCAGCGTCTATTCTTTTAGGTTTTTATACCATGCTTATCACTATAGTATCTGAGCACTTTCCAGTAGTATATTAAGCCACATAACTACACACCTGTCATATGTTGTTTGTTCTCTCATTCTTTCCCCAGAGAAAGAAGCATGTGCGGTAGAATGTCTTGTTTTGGTGGTCTCTCTCTCTCTTTAATATAAATGTACTTGTTGCTATGTGTTTCTGTTAGAGAAGGCAGGTCAAAGAAATGTGCTTTGCACTTGAAGCAGAAAGTTGCGAGGTTCCTAAGTTCCTGGCGGTGTTCATTCCACATTCTCAGTCTGCCCCCAGAGAAGATGCACTCTCATGCACATACAAGCTTTACTCTTATTGTTGAGAGTTCCATTATGCCAGAAGAGCATAGTTTACTACTGGGGGAATTCTGTGCCACTACTCACGCGTAGAATTCCTGTCCCCTGCAGATTTCTTTGCTTCCCTGCAGAAAATGATCGGGAAGCATAGGTAAGCCGTAAGAGCGGTCATGTCATTTTGGGTGCCTGGAGCAGCAGGCAGAGAGGTAAATCACTGTGGGGCTGGGATGCCCCGGCCGGTGACTCCTGCCCTGCGCTAGACTCACCTGCTAGTCCCAGCTGAGATGGGGATGGAGGAGGATGGGGCTGTCTCTTCCCCTGCAAGGGAGCGCCTGTGGGGTTCCCCTGCAGAAAGCTCCATATTCCTCCCTCTCCCTCCCCCCCGCCACTTTGTGACCCCATCACTCGCCAGCCTTGGGGGAAGGGGCCACTATGCAGGGAGCTGCTTTCCCATCAGCTGGACCCCCTATATCCAGAGCCCCACCCCTGCACGCAGCCCGTCCCCCCGCACACTCGAAGCCCTCTTGCTTACTATCTTGGGGCAGCTAGAGTAGAGGGGCAGGGCCCCCGAGTGTTTTTAGGGCAGGCCCAGCCCTTGTGCTGTGTCAGGGTTGAGTGCAGCCTCACCGCCATGTCCCGGAGGGAAGTGGGGGCTACGGGGGTGATCTTCCACCTTTGTTCAGCCAGTGGCCTGTGCTCCCCACTGCCATGCTTGGAGCCTCCACATTTATTTATTGACAAATAAAATATGCAGAATTTGAACATACCATGTGCAGGATTTGTATTTTTTTGGCGCAGAATTCCCTCAGGAGTAAGAGTTGTTGATCATGGTCTTTGTCCTGAAGCTTTAGATGATTGTTTAGATATCCTGAGACCTGGTCATGGGGGGCTATGAAGATAGGGACCTTGCACTTGATTTGATATTCTGTGGGAAGCCAGTGTAGGGAGCAGAGGACAGGTTTGATATGTTCCTGCTTTGCTTCTTTCCTAACCAGTAATCACAAACATACTGTGAAAGATTGATTGGTCCATATCACTTTTCTCCCCTCATCTCTAACCCCCCCCCCGATCTTATTACTTCTGTGGCTAATATATGTTATATTAAGGTGTGAGCTAATTATGTTAATCTAAATTTTAGGTGGTAGATACCCCTGGTATTTTGGATCATCCTTTGGAAGAAAGGAATACCATTGAGATGCAGGCTATCACAGCGCTTGCACATCTCCGTGCTGCTGTGCTTTTTGTAATGGATGTGTCTGAGCAGTGCGGGCATTGTCTGGAGGAGCAACTAGAACTCTTCCAAAATATTAAACCACTATTTGCAAATAAGGTAGATCTGATTTACATGACTCAAACCTAACTTTTCACAGTGTGAAACAGTAAGCTGAATAGTATTGTTTACTTTCTTTCTATTAGCCTCTTATACTTGTAGCAAACAAGTGTGACGTGAAAAGGATTTCTGAACTTCCTGAAGAAAATCAGGTTAGAAGGCCTTTTCTTCTTTTCGTAATTTACAAATGCATTCTATGCATCTGTCGTGGAATAATACGAGTTATAATGTGCATGGGTGAACTTCGTTGTATAATGTCTTAATTGGACAGTTTAATATCCTGATGAAGAGTGAGTAGGTCTTCGTTTTTGCTTTTTAAAAAAAATAAAATAAAAATTGTGAATACCTACTAAGATGTGTGTTTGTGTATTTCCATGTATGGGGCGGGGGTATGTGTGTGAGAGAGATTAGCCTGATGTTTCATAAGTGCAAAGCACCCATAGCTGCTGTTTGGTTTCATGGATAGTAAGGCCAGAAAGGGTCATCTGATCTGAAGTCTTGCATAACACAGGCCAATGAACCTCATTTAACAGTTTCTGGGTAGAGACAACTGAGTACTGGTGTGAGGCACGGTGTCTTGAGCTGTCGAAATGGAAGTTATGGATGAAGCAGTATCTGCACACACAGGCCTGATTTTTCATATGCACACAGGTTACCCTGATTTTTACACATTCTGAGCATGTAGCTAATGTATATATTTTATTCTATTTGCTACTTAACTTACTATTTACATCTGATCCCCGCATTTATGTGTAAAAGTTAGTATATGCAAAATTTCTGTAGTTCCTCTTTAGGAAAACATCTATTAATACAGTTGCTCAATAATGTCAGAAGAAATTTTTATTTTGAGACGAGATAAGAAGTTTGACTTTGTTTAATGAGTTGGAAACAGTGATCTTTAAGAAATAATCAGAACTTACTTTATTTTTGTGTGTTCTGTTTGTTTTTCAGAAAATGTTTGAAAATTTAGAAGCGGAAGGATTTCCGGTCATAGAGACAAGTACTCTAACAGAAGAAGGTGTGATTAAAGTTAAAACAGAGGTGAGTTTCTTCTTTTACTTACACAAATTTTGTTCCAAATAGATATCTAAGTTTCGTTTTACTGTTTGTGAATTTAGTCTTTATTAAAGTAGTGGACTGGTGCTCTGGTTTGAGACAGATATAACAAGTTTTCCTGTGTATCTGAGGAACTATGACACTCAAATGTTCAAGTTTTGGGTCTCCCATTGGGCAGATACTGCCAGATGAGCAAAGTTGTTGCTTTCTATGATGTGAATAAATGGAGATTAGATTGAGACAAGCAAGCATGATTTTTACTTCGGACATATTTATTGTACAGTTTTTCTTACTGAAGTGGCTTTGTGAAAATTATTGCTTTTTTTTTTTTTTTATTGAGGATCCCGGGGGGATGATAGCCACCCGCTCTTATTCCAGCATATAACAATACAGTAGATGTAAAATAGATTGTAGGTCACAAAATCTAAAATGGCAGAAAAAATTATGCACATTAAAATGAAAACCCTGGATCTTGATTTGCACTGAAGAGTTACTGTTTTAAAATTGTTAATAACTCTAATCCAGCAGTTCTCAAACTGTGGGTCGGGACCCCAAAGAGTGCCATGGCCCCATTTTAATGGGGTCACCAGGGCCAGCATTAGACTTGCTGGGATCCAGGGCTGAAGCTGAATCCTGAGCTCCACCCCAACCGGGGGCGGTGGGGCTCGGGCTCCTTCCCTCCGTCTCTGGGGTCATGGAGTAATTTTGTTGTCAGTAGGGGGTCATGGTGCAATGAAGTTTGAGAACCCCAGCGAATCATTGACTAGATTTATATAAATTCTATGTAGCGTCTTTAATCCTGGTGGAATGGCTATGTACTGGGAGCTTCTCCACTGTCTTTCAGATATTAATCTTAAATTGACTACTTGTGCGGATGCTGTTTGGTCATTTCTTAGACCGGGGTGGCCAACCTGTGGCTCCGGAGCCACATGTGGCTCTTCAGAAGTGAATATGTGGCTCCTTGTGTAGGCACTGACTCCGGGGCTGGATCTACATTCGCAGACTTTTCAGTGTGCTGGGGGGTTCTCACTGCTCAACCTCTGGCTCTGCCACGAGCCCCGCCCTCACTCCACCTCTTCTGGACCCCTCCCCTGAGCCTGCTGTGCCCTCGCTCCTTCCCCTTCCCCCAGCCCCCTGCATGGCACAAAACAGCTGATTGGGGGGTGCGGGGAGGGAAGGGGAGGTGCTGATCGGTGGGGCTGCCGGTGGGTGGGAAGCATGGGGTGGGGTGGGAACTGATGGGGGGCTGCTGACGTATTACTGTGGCTCTTTGGCAGTGTACATTGGTAAATTCTGGCTCCTCCTTAGGCTCGGGTTTGCCACCCCGTTTTAGACCAGTGTCTCTCTTGCTAGACAGAAATAACAAATGAGGAAATTCCACCTACTTTGAACTCTTGTCCCATCAGACCTTTTGTTAGCGGGGATAAAAAAAGATAATCATTAATTTGGGCCTGCTTTTGGTCTGGGCCAGCAGAGAATTGTTCTTAGCTAAAAATAAAACACGCCCACTAGATATTACATAATAGCAAAAGCTCAGTTTTGAAAAGGTTCTGTGTATCTCTAGAAATAAATCTGAAGACCGTTTGTTTTTTGGGAACCATTTTCTGGACATTACTCGTGCCTTACATTGGAAACTATTTTCAAACTCCATATCCAAGATTGAACCAATATGACAATCAGATCCTTAACTATAATTCATCACATTTCCTTGGCATGATTTTCCAGATTTCTTTAAAAAAAAAAACTTGACTGAGACTTTTTTCCTCTATAAGCCTTTGTTGCTTTGATTCTCACTGTACGAGATTCCGTTCCCATTTAGTTATAACTGAAATATGAATATTGTTACATAACTGCTCTTGTATTGAGTTTTAAAATAAAGTGTGTTTTTGTGGCAGGGGGAACAGTGACTTAAAATGGGATTTGAACTAGGTCTCCATAGGTAAAAAGCCAGTGCATTAAATCACTGTATCATGCAGCCTTCTCTCTGTCCCCGACAATAATTAATGACACCTTATACCTTTTTAGGCCTGTGACAGACTGTTGTCCCATCGTGTTGATACCAAAATGAAAGGAAATAAGGTGAATGAAGTGCTGAACCGACTACATTTAGCTGTACCAAGCAAAAGAGATAATAAGGTAGGTTATTAAAATTTGGATATATTTTTCAGTAGTCTTTGAACATCCTTCTTTGCTGACTTAATGTGGGGATTCATTTTGTTGGAATCCTGTGAATTTCAGGATCTCAGTTAATGTATTGGCATAGTGAATCAGTTTGACATTACCCAGGGTACAAACTGGACTGAGGATAGCTGTGTCCCCTCAATTCTCTGACCGGGGGTGTCTTTTATGCTTTGCTGTAAGAGCAACCATTCCTGGTCTTCCCACACACAGCCTCCAGCATGTAAATCACTCCCAGCTATACTGTATGAGTGCTATAGCCAGCCAGCCATGAATTACACCAGGGCAACATCAGCAAACTCCCAGTGCCAGACTCTCCTCCCTCCCCCGCCCCAGAAATGTGTGTCTCATACTGCCCAGCACCCTCCTGGACAATACAAATTCATAGAAAGTCCATCATTTTGTTAATAGGAAATGATATGCACAAGTCTTATCTCAAATGAAGTTTCCCAAACACTTCAATCCAAAGACGTACTGGTTCAGATAAAACAATAAAAAAACCCATTTCTTAACTACAGAAAGATAGATTTTAAGTGATTACAAGTAATGAGACATAAAAGTCAGTATTGGTTACAAAGAAATAAAAGGTAGAACATAATTAACTCCTAACTTAAGCTAAATGAATTCAAGAGAAATCTTTGCTTTACCACATGCTTTCTAAGTCTTACAGTCTGGAATCCTTTCAGGCAGGATCCCTCCCCCAGTTCAGTGTTAATTTCCTTGTCCTTCAGGTGGTGTTGATGCTGCGAGTAGAGATGAAGGGAGAGATAATTTGGGGCATCTGTTCCCCATTTTTATATCTTTTCATCCTTTTTGAGAATCCTCTCCAGTTGGGATTCAAGAGAGACAGTCTGTGGGACGGGAACTTCCAGCTGTTTTTTTTTTTTTTTGCCAAGATATAACTTTCTCACTCACACCCTTTTCCTGCCAAAGAGTGGCCGCTTAACCAAAGAAAGTCCATTGAATTTTGTTGAAACCTGGCTGAGATATCGGTTTGCCTTTTGACTTTGGGGAAGCAGTTTGTGCCTGCTTTTCTAAACTTGGAATATGTCTCAATAATGTTATACAGCAGAATCTTATAACTTTACATACAATATTGCCACACACATTTTACCAGGACAAAATGATCAGCACACTGAGTTTTCAAATGATACCTGACAAGGCATATTTTGTACAAAATGCATTATAGTTTTTGTAAAAAGCTTGAACATAGGGATACAGACTGTCACAATCGGTTAAGATTATTGAAACTTTTTCTTACAGAGAAACATATAGTGACAATATTTTATTTGCATTACAGAAAATTTGGGATTCCCACACTATATTAAAAAAGAAAAGAATCACATGCTCTTGTGATCATGTTTATTGCATTAATTTCAGGAAAGGCCACCTTTCATTCCTGAGGGAGCAGTAACACGTAAGAAACGCATGGAAGTAGATGCACCTAAAAAGAAGAGGGTAAGTGGCTTACAGAACAGATTTGGCACCCTTGAATTGAGGAATTAGTAGTGAAATTTAAAAAATCAAAACAAAAGAGTGATCATTGAAAAGTACAATATTTATGCTACGTATGTCTTTTTAGGAGAGAGATCTTGAAGTGGAAATGGGAGATGATTATATTTTGGATCTTCAGAGTAAGTGTTATTCAAGTCTCAGTATAATTATTTTAAGAAGTGAAATTGGGCTGAGGTTGTCTTTTTGTGTTTATAGCAGAAAGTTTCAAGCAGGAAAATCTTATCCTAACTATTTCAATCTTAAATGTCCCTGCTGCTATTTTAGTGAACACTAGCAGACTTCTTCTCTAATTCCAAATTAGTAAGAATTGGCTTTCTGCTCTCACTTGTGTTGTGATGTAATTTGGAGTGTCTTTCAGTTTGTAGAATTACTGAAACAGAATGAATGGCTTGATGACTCAGCTCTTCTGTTTCTTTTGTCCTGCTTGAACATATCTGATACATATTCTAGCATGATCCTTGTCTTAAGGGAAATAGTTGATTTGTGGAGAGAATAATTTAGTGTGTTCTTTTTCACTTATATTATTATTGCTCATTATTTGTGTGTTACATGCATCATCACTGTTTGACAAGACTTCCAGTGTAAAGTTCTGTGTGGCACTGATTCTGTATGTTATCAAATTCTTACATTTTAGAGAGAGACTTGTATTTTATATTACGATGTAAATATTTTCTCCCATCCTTGATTTTTCTATAAAATGTTTCAACAAGTTAAAGTATTGGTTAATTTTGCGTAATTTCTTTTTTTAGAATACTGGGATCTAATGAATTCATCTGAAAAATATGATAAGATACCTGAGATCTGGGAAGGACATAACATAGCTGATTATATTGATCCAGATATCATGAGGGTGAGCTTTATGCTATTTGTTTTACACTGTTGAGGATATTCTCTCCTGTTCTCATTGAATTTAGTGTTTCTGTCTTCAAGCAGTATGAATCCACAGATGTATAAAGTTAGTAAAACTTTAGTTTATTTCTCTCCTGATATGCATGCATAAACTGATGAAGTTTCTTAAATTCATAAATAACAAAATATAGTGGTTTATAGTATGAAGAAGTGGTTTTTTACACACGGAAGCTTATGCCCAAATAAATCTGTTAGTCTTTAAGGTGCCACCGGACTCCTTGTTGTTTTTGTGGATACAGACTAACACAGCTACCCCCTGATACTTTAAACTATAGTTTTGTAACTTTTCTTAGTGTATTCTTGGAAGGAACACAACATTTATCATAGGTAAAGATATTTTCATACTGAGTGGCAGTTATGTCTATAGTGACTCAACAAATAGTTTGCTTTGCCATCAGAATCAATGTTGATCTTTTTTCATTATAACATCTTAAAAAATAAGGTTTGTTAGAGAACTTGCATTCCTTCCACTGTCTGACTCTGCAGTGACAGAGGAAACAGAATGATCATAATTTTTTTAGTGAATTATTATTGCTGTTGATATTATGCCTTCACTGCCAGAATAAACTGTTAAAGTAGTTTGAGTGTTAATCCTAAACTGTTTGACAGCATCCTTTTAATTTGACGAAGCAGTGGAGAACTCTTGCTGTTTTCATTTCTGTTTCATGATGATCTTGTTTAGCCAAGGAGAAATAACAGGGAACTCATTCTGGAGCTTAAGGTGGTTAAAAGGATCATCATAGAGTAACATGAGCTGCTCCCTTCTTCAAGGGCTGAGTGTGCTGCCTTTCTAGTGCCTTCTGGCCCAGAGGGTGAGACTGACATTTGGAAATTGAATCAAGGTTCTTTACATGGAAACAGTCTGACCATAAGGTTGTGATAGTGTCCCTTTTAAAGGTAAACACTATAAACAAGATGTTTCTGATCCTAAATATGGACTGTGACAGACTGAGGATATCCTGCAGTATCCTAGACAAGCCTTATGGAATTAAGATAAACTTTAATGAATTAAGTTAAACCTTGCTGAATTAGGTTTAATATCTTTCAAGTCCATTATATTAAAAATGAAAGTGTGTGTGTTGTGGAATTGTATGCAACTCCTGTATATCAGCCCTTTGAAACCACCCCACTGGACTGGTTCACATATATTAATTCAAACTGGATACTCCAGGGAACAACAGAGGATGGATTTTTGGATAAATAACCTAGTTTTAAATAGATTCATGGCCTTCTTTCTGACCCAGCAAACGGACAAGACCCCTGCCCACAGAAGGTCCCAATCCTTAGGGAAGGATTGGAAGGACTGCACCTTCTGAGGCCACATAAGACGGTGTGCTTGTTCTGAGCTGAAATGGTGATGAACTTGAAACTACAAGGAAACCTCTTGGGTGGGGTTTGGAGAAGGGCTGCTTCTGCTGGAGCCAGTATTAGGTTGCGGTGATCTCTGATAAGCTTATTAGCGTGTATGCAATGTTTTCTCTATAATGCTTGTTACTTTAAGAATAAAATAGACTTACATTAAAAGAGCTGTGTGGTCACTGTAACTAACTGTGGCAGTCCCACTTTTAGCCATCTCTGAAGAGAAAGCAAGCAGGTCTGCTTGGACAGCTTATCTCTACTGAGATAACTCGATATAGTCAGACTATGCAGCCTGGAAATACTCTGATCAGACAGGAGTGAAACACAGGCCTCTGGGGAATGGCTGGGGAGCTGGAAGCCTGAGAGTGGGTTCCCTTCATGAGTCACTGTGGGCAAATACAGGTGCAGTTGCTTTGAACTGTGATACAAATAACTTGTTTTCCATTTGATCTCTTTACATTTTAAGAAACTGGAAGAGTTAGAGAAAGAGGAAGAGCTGAGGCAAGCTGCTGGGGAATATGACAGTGAACCAGAAAGTGAAGATGAGGAAATGTTGGAAATCAGAAAACTGGCACAACAGATTCGAGAAAAAAAGAAACTAAAAATTTTGGAATCCAAGGAAAAAGATACTCAGGGCCCAAAAATGCCTAGGACAGCTAGAAGGGTAAGTATAAAATACTTTCAGTAATATAGTCTTGTTCATGGATAATATGCAAATGGCAAATGATTCATTATTAGGTGTGATTTCAGTTACAAGATTCTATCAATCAATGTAGCACTTTCTCCCCTACTCCTCCATTCCTTGCCAAAAACAGGTTCAACGAATACCACTGGAGTTCTAGGAATAGCTACTGTGGTGGTAGGTAAAGAGATGTGGAAATATGGGGGAAGCAGTAGAAGGAACAGTCTGAGACATGTTGGACAAGGGGAGGGGTGGGAGCCTCCATAAGAAATGGATCTGGCATTTTGGACCTTTTAGCTTATTAAATAAAAATTGGTAAACTATATAATAGAGCTGTAATTCCATTAAGGGGATCTGGTGATGTCATAAAAACACTGAAAACCTAAAACAGAATTATGGCAGCATAATCCTAAATTTGGCTGTTCTATAACAAGTTGAACTGATCTTCCGCATGGCTTCTTCCCTGTTGTTCTGCCCCCTCTCGCTTCTTTCCTGCTGCTCACTCCCTACCTTCTCTCCCCTATATTACCTCTGGGCTTGCTGTGTCCAAAACTCTACTTTAGTGAGTTATGTAGGTCATGCCAAACAAATGCCAGTAGTACCATCACATTATGGCACACTATGATATATATGATATAGAAAAACTCATAGGAATTTATTTAAAATTTTTGTAGTGGGTTTGGTTTTCCCTCTTCACCTGCAAACCCGGTGTTCTTTAGTTGTCATGAGTCTAACTGTATGTGGCTTGGAGAGAGCCATGAAAACCTCTTGCAATGATATAAAATAGCAGTGTATACATAAAAATGTCACTAACATAAAGTCTATTATTTTAGACCATTCCTGGGCTGGAAGTGATTGCTGGTTCCCTTTGGAAAGTTCGGGAAACTCTCTTTCCAATTATATAAAGCAGCTATGTCTAGCCCAGCAGGGTAGCAAGAAGTCATATTGTAAAGCTGTGACATTTTTAGAAAACTCTTACTATCCTAGGTTAGAATTTTGCTAATAGTGAATATGTAATTTGGGTAAAAGAGGGGAATTTTGCACATTTTGGGAAGAAAAGGAAATATTTATGTAACAAGTAGATTTAAAAAACAAACAGCAAAACCTGGCAGCTATTTGAAGTCGCTGTAGAGTTTGGACTATTAAAATAATTCCACAAAGATGGATTAGTGGGCAGAGAGCCAGTAAAGTAATCAAAAGCGCATGATAAATTCATTTATCATGTGGCTCTGCAGTTTGTTGAACGTATATGTCCATATAATGGTGGGTCTATGTATAATACATAGACATTTTGTTTGATTAAGAAAACATATGGAACCACCTTTTTAAAAGAAACATTTTCTTTATTATCTTTTTTTTTTTAGGTCCAACGTAAGATACTAGAGAAGGAGATGAGCAGTCTTGGTCTTGACATGGCTGGTAAAGATGAAGTAAGACTTTTGCTAATTAAGTATTACAAATGTATGTTTGAAGAGTGAGGGTTTGAAAATCCCATTGGAGTTGTGTGCTGAACTCCTTTTGGATGCCTTTGAAAATCCCCCTAAAATGTCAGTTACCTCTACAGTTGATAAACTGAGTGAACCGAACCATTCATTCATGTGTGGACATGCAGAACTTCTGTTGTTGCTTTATCTGGCTTGATTGATCTCTACTGTTAGGCCAAGCTAGTTAACTAGAAAAGATTTCTTTGCCATCTTTGTTCAGAATGCTATGCTTGTATCGGCACCGCTGTCTTAAATTAGAACACCTCAGGTTGATTCGGGTGGGATTCCAGCTCTCCAGAATAAGCTTAACGTACAAGAGTCTACTTTGGGGATACGGAATTAAAGAGCAACAATTTTTTAGTATTTTTAATTTTTGAGGATAAAATATTTATTAGGATAAATGCCCATTAAAAATGTGGCTTAAAGACCGTGACAGATTGAGCAGGCTAATCATACATCAGCACCATAAATTACTGTTTTTTAAGTGAGACAAGGTGAGTGAGGTAATATCTTTCATTGGATCACTGTGTGTTGGGGAAAGAAGACATGCTTTCAGGCATACACAGAGCTCTTCTTCAGGCATGACTTTAAGTGCCTGACTAGCACTTAGCAGGTAATGCAGTCATGGAGTAAATTGTCCATCCCTGGATTTTGGGGGCCACCTTATTGTATCACAAGATCCCAGCACTCCTTTTTATACTCCTAATATAGCACAACCATATACAGAGGTCTCAGGTGAGACCCAAAGTCTTCAGATAATGAAGGGTTGAGATGTTAGGAATAATAAGTGGTGCCATTATACATTTGAAGTAAATACTCATGGTCTGTAGATCTTGGAATCCAGGTTTATTTAGGAGCCATACTTCCCAAAGGCCTGCTATCTCAGCCAGACTCTATAGAGGAAGGAGCCTAAGACTGGTGTGGAGCGATGCTGGTTGTCGTGACTTTGAAGCCTTTTCATGCTTTATCATATAAAGCTACTGGTAGTTACCTTAGTCTGGGTTTCCCCACGGTGTAAAGTTTATTTTTGTTTATTTTTGCTGAGCTGCTGCAATCTTTATTATCTGTTCACTTTTCTGAATTATATTTTTGAAGTCATCTACCTCAAAAGTCTGGCGCAGAAAGATAGACACTGTGGTATTTTAGGGGAATCAGTATGAGAATGTTGAATGAGTGATACTAAGTGCATTTTGGTGATGTTTTGCATAAGAATTGTTGGAAATACAGCAGAGAGCTTTGATCAACAGTGGACTTAAGGACTTTATCCAATGGTCTTTAGCTTAACGAGGAAGAGCCAAGAGTGCTGTAGGAATCAGGAAGCCACAGGATGTCTTTTTACAGGGATTTTTAAATTATTCTATTTGAAATAGACAATAGCAACTCTAATGATTACTTTGTGAATTTCAGGCACATTACGTGGTCCAAGCAAGAAGATCCAGGAGTGTTACTAGGAAACGTAAACGTGAAGAATCTGAACCCCCTAAGTCTGCAGCACGCAGTCGCAGTTCCTCTCGCACACCACGTGACACTTCTGGTCTGCGAGATGCAAAGGTTTGTTTCAGTTCATTAACGTTATCTAAACTTCACAGTAACTGCTATAGTACATGGTCACATTTACAGATATTTTTAATAGAATATAGATGAGGTTTAGTATTTGTACAAAGTTTCCAATGATCTTCAATGAAACTTTGCTCTGATCTCTTTTCAGTATATATTTTGTGGAGGGGATATGTCTGCTCTTCATGATTTAAAATCAGATATTGATCGGATTCCTTATGCAAACTGAAAAATGACAACATATAAAGTAAAATGTAGTAATACAAAATGTTTAAAAATGTCTTTCACAAAACACACTTGGTTACACTCAGAATTTATTAAATTTATTTTTAGGCACCTGAGAAGTAAAGGCAATCTAAATTGAAATGGAATTCATTATTAACGTCACACATCTCATAATCTGACACTTAAATCCTGTGTCTAAATGTTTAGATGCCCAAAGATCTCATTAGGTCACTCTTAATATATTTGGAAATAGGATGCTAGTCTGAGTTCGTCTCATTGAAGGAATTTCTAACTGAACTAACTTTGTTTGGAAAGGAGATTTGTTTCCCCTTTGTCACTTTTTCTTACCTGTGGCCTTGAAAACCCTCTCTTTGTCTCTAACTGCGGAGATGATGGTTTGTGCTTGGCCTTCATTTTGATATCTCCTTCCCGACATTCTGCAATTTGAGTTTGCTAGACTTTTAAATAGAATTTTGTTCAAGTTTCTTGCTGAGGAGAAGAAAGAAAGAATGAATCTCTCTTAAATGTTTTTCTGTTTCATATAGATGGTGAAGAAGGTTAAGACTATCATGAAGAATTCTCAAAAGAAAATGAATCGCTTGGGCAAGAAAGGAGAGGCAGATAGGCATGTGTTTGACCTTAAACCCAAACATTTACTGTCTGGCAAAAGGAAATCTGGTACAACACAGAGAAGATAAAAACATTTTTCTGAATTAAAACTACTTTGCTGTCCTGTTTGTTTTTTTCCTAATAAAATGTAGATTGTATAATCTGGAAACAAAAAATAATCATAAAGAAATTCAGAAATCTTTCCTTGGTAACTGTTTAGATTTAAATGTACAGAGGGAAAGTTTGACATTTTGGTTCCATAGGCCAAAGTGGGTTAGTAAGGCCATGGAAACTGATCTGACTATCACCACTAGAACCAGAGTTTTGAATGGACATCAGATTGGCATCAGTCCAGATGAACCGTCTGAATGACTACAGAAGTTGAGGGTATTAAACCCAAATGGACTTGGGTTGTTGTCATAAGAACTGTAACCGTAATGAGAAAGTTTACATTAGCATGGCCAGTTAGAACGGCCTTAAGGATATTTTACATCCCAGTGGTTCCAAAAAATACATTGCCAATAACAAAATAACAGTAATATTTAGCATTATGCCACATGCACAGTATTACAAATAGCTTGTTATATAAGATTACATACTTATTCAGCACATGCAAAGCCGGAGACTTTAATAGTATCTTAAATTTTAAAAAAATCCAGTGCTTTAGAGCACTTACATTTTTTATAATGATCATGATTGAAACATTTGCTTGTTTCTGAACCTAATTTGCATATGACCTGTTATAAATGAAAAATAGGCAAGAATATATGTTCTTTAGTAAATCAATAGGCTGTGTTATCTTTGTTCTCAGCTCAGAAGGAGCTTGTTTCATCCATTGTGTTAGGGCATTTAATTTAATTTACACTGCAACGTAGAAGTATTTTTTTAAAATGAGATACTTTTTGCAGTAATAGAGGTAAAACAAACCATGAAAGACTTCGTGTTGGGGAGTGTGTGCTTAGACTTTCCAAACTATAGAGGAGCACAGCGCTAATTCTCTACAACCCTAAAATAAAATAGCAAGTATAATTTCTTCTGGCACTGGGAAAACTGTTGATGGTCAGAAGGGCTGAGTGATACTGGCTATCTCTGTCTGACAACCAAGCCCGTCTTCCCTGCCACGTCCCCTAACACACATGGTAGCCTCATTATGTATAGTATAAAGAAAAATGTGGATGTTAAAACCTCCAGCACTAGTATAAAAACATATTTTGGCATAAGAATTTGATTAAAATGTGTATAATAATTTAAAACTTGCAAGAGTATAATGTTTAGAAAGGGGAGACTAGAACTTTGCCTTTTACACCTTGGCCAAAATCAGGGCAAATTTAGCTATAGTACTTTTGTTCTGACATGTTGAAACTTTGGTCTTTGGCTTCAGTATTTGTTCCAGACAAGATGTACTCTCCCAATTGCTGAATCTGCTATTTTTTATACCAAAGAGATAATCTTGTCTTTAAGTAGTTGGCAGTGCCTTTCATCCCTTCATTTGAATTGGGATGGGAACTCTGTTGCATGAGTGGGATGTATTTTTTTAATCTATTTGTTTAATGAATCAAATAAGCAGCCTGCACTTTCCATTATTGAACTGTTTTTATAGTTTATTGTAACATCCCTCTACTATGGAGTAGAATGGTCTTCCCCATCTTTGGTTTCATTCTGACAATCAGACTTCATGTAATATCTTCAAAAGCAGTTAATAGGACACTTTTAGTGAAATATTTCTTTAGTTTAAGGGGGTATTCAGTGAAATGTCTCTAGATGTACACAAATGCAATTTCAGCAGATGTCCTCTCCACTGATACTTCAGTTCCTGTTTTAATGTTAAAGAACATGATTAGCTTTCACTGACAGTACAGTAATGAAGCACTAGTTGTGATGGTTTGTACTGTTGTATTTCTTCCCCATTTTTTAATGTTAGTGAAACAACATTTGTGCGTTAAACATATTCCCTTCATTTCTGAAAAGCAACAGATTTACATTACACATTAACAATGGGTAATGTAACTGGCAATTGCATACTCTCACTTTTCTCCTGGAATGGTTGCCAGCAGTTTTACCCATGTGACTGTCAGGGTCCGATAGAGAAAAGACATAAGGATAACTCGTGAAATTTTATTTTCTTATGCTCCTACAATTACACTGACTTCACTGAAGCAGAGTGGATTTTACAGAAGGCAGAATTTAATGTTCAGTTCTCAATGCTATTAGAGCTCTTACACTTAAGTTGTCTCAATTCAGATCCCACTGAGCAAAAAAGCTTATCTTCTAGTTTTGGTCTGAAAAAACTACTACCTGAATAAACAATATTTTAGTTCATATGCTTTTAATATATACATCTTTACAGTAACATGTACTTTGTATTTAAAGGCAGGCCTTCAGGATAAATGTTTGGCTTAATTTCACCGTCTGCTCAGATTGTTACCTAACTTATCAGCCAAAACAGCTCTCCTTTCAGCCTCTCAATAATTCAAATCATAAGTGTTTTGATATTCCACCATGATCTGCTTGTATGAACCGTAGGCTCAGTTTCAGGGGGGTTGCAGTTCCATTTTGGTGCCCACAATGTAAATTGAAGGGGGAAGGGGAGGAAACTAAAGAACCAGGAAAACAGTTGACTAAAATCAGAAGTGAAGAACAGTGCCAATGGTGGCTTGACCCAAAACACAACCACTCTCAAAAGCTCATGTAGAAGACAATGTTTATTTTTGTTATCAGAGGAATTTTAGAAATGATGCTACCTAATCCTCTACAACACTTCAAGGCTGCTCGACTAAAGAGAAGGGGGAAGATGTCATGGGGTCACAAGTTGTTACCTTTTTCTTGAAAGGTTTAGTTAAAGGTAGTACTGCTTTCTTTGCTTTCTGATTCTAATGGAGAACCCACAACCTAGTTTTACTGTCTTCCACTGTACAAGACTCCTATCACACCACCAATAGTAATTTTAAGTGCATTTAAGTTCAAAGAACTCAGTGAATTACCAAGGTTCTTATATTTACATTCTAACAATGGTTAAGTCGCACTTCTTTCTGTGATCCTAAATGTCCTTTTAAGGACTGCAGTTAACAGCCTTGTCATTCACTTTTTTTAGGCAAGAACAAACAGATTTCCATTGTAGTTGCCCTATATGAAAACATTTAAGTTGAAATTCCATTTTCTGCTTTAGAACACCAATAAAATGTTAAAATATTAAACAGTGGAAGTGTTCAGTGATATTAGTATTCTACTTCACACTTATACAAAAGAGCAGAGGAACCAGTCACTCCAGGTGATTTTCATGTAACATTCCCATGCGTTTGTGTAACTTACATTTTCAGAAGTTGTAATGAAAATTTGAAGTATTACTGAGACTGACATAGTTGTGAAGTTTGATTTGTTTACTTTGTGCATTTGATAGCATTTCCCTAGTAAATCAGTTTTTTCCTTAATGAAAAATCTTAAAAGCAACAGAGGAATCAACAAGCCATAGGTTTTTATAAAAGATGAAGAGATGCTAGTTAAACAATGTAACTTGAACTAGTATAAATACACATTGACAAAATTCCTTTAACCTATCTGCCTCCATAAACTGAGTTTGGAAGATGTGTCAGATTAATTGTAAGTGGCTGGGTGTCTATTTCAGAAGTGGCACATATCTACTGTCACAGTGGAGACTGAACTAAATGGAGGTTTCAGAGTAGCAGCCATGTTAGTCTGTATACACAAAAAGAAAAGGAGTACTTGTGGCACCTTAGAGACTAACAAATTTATTTAAGCATGAGCTTTCGTGAGCTACGTGCATCCGATGAAGTGAGCTGTAGCTCATGAAAGCTTATGCTCAAATAAATGTTAGCCTCCAAGGTGCTACAAGTACTCCTTTTCTTTGAACTAAATGGAGTTAGAGACTGGATTATCCTCCATGCATTAGAGAGCATCACTCTCAGTCAGGTTATAGGCACTGCATGGAAAGGCAATGCAGGGAAGTTTACTTTGCTGTTGCCTATTTGTGTTTATCTGATAAGCCTTATTAAATGTATTTCAGTGCCCCTCAAAATAAAGGTTTACAATTTATTTTCTACACAGGCTTTCTATCTTAGTATTCATTAAGCCCCAAACAAGTTCATACTATACCTACTGTTACTTATAGTCATCAAGGCTGGCTTTACACTCAAAACTTTTCTCAGTACTTGGGTAACACCACAGCTTGCCTGCTCTGAAAAGATGACTTAAATTACCCATGCTGTCAGGCCAGCACTGTTGTTCAGCTGTAAATTAACACAAAAACCCACAACCCAACAGCTCTGCCCGCCCCGTCAAAAAAACACAAAAAACCCAGCCCAACTGAAACAACATCACTATGCATAGGAACAGAAATTCCTACAATAGGTACTGCTGATGTACCATTTTTGTCAGTATTCAAAACCTTAAGAATTAAAAGTCACCTTACTGCTATTAAGACAGCATCCCACTGTTATCCCTCACCACTACATTCACTTAGAGCTTTTTACATTCTGTGTATTTTTTCATGATCCACAAATCTATTTAAATTATGCAGGTTATCCCACCATTTAAAAAGAAAAGTCTCTGCAATTAATTTGAACCATGGAGTAATCTTGATTTCATTTTTTGATGCTTTTTCCAAGAGCTGTTTTAGTTCTTCCTGTGTCACATAACAGTAGCTTTTGATCTCATTCGGATCAGGATTCAGTGTTACGTTCTTCCGCACAAACAAGATGTAATCAATTTCATGTTCTCCCCAGATCCCATCAGAGCGGGCCTTGTAGTGAATTCGCGTTAGATAGGAGATTTCTTCTGGAGTTACCTAAAACCAAAATCCTTAATTAACTAATCAGCAGTAAGAGATAGGGAGTTACAGCAAGACATTTTAATTAATATATTTTGGAAGTGGAAAAAACAAGACCGTTATGCATCACCTTTCTGAAGGGACACTGTCAGTTTAAAAAACACTCCAACATACATTTTTGGTCTGGAAAAAAGTTTGAAGCTTATTTTTAATACACAGAGGCAAAAAAACACTTTTTTTTGTCCAACTTGGTGCATGTGACAGCACTCCTGTTGAGTTGGCTTCATTGTTTCCCTATACACCAGTATGCTTTCTGGTTTTGTGTGGGTTTTTCTACATGGAAACAGAAGAAACATTTTTTAAATAGTGAAGTAATTATAAAAAAAACCCAACACTGCCAGGGGACTCGGGCAGGTATCCTACTTGTTACCCCTTTCAACTTTCATAATTGACTAGGTACAGCAGCCCTACCCCTCATTGCCAATTTGTATTTTTAAAATCATTGTAATATTGTTGTCCAACTTTTTAAGGTTGGTGATTAAATGTCCTTTCCCATGTTAGTAAACAGAGGATTTAAACTGAAATGAAGTCTTACTTTGCACAATGTTATTTACTCTTTGCCTTATATTTAGGTTGAAGGAAGAAGTACTCTTGAAGGATCCTTTTTTCTTGCGAACAATTTATTTTATTGCTCTGGTACTGTATCAAGGATTAAAGTATTTGGGTCCAGTTATGGGAGAGAGAGAGAACAGGATATTTTTCAACAAGTATCTCACAAACTTGTGTTCATTGTAGAATATAAAACACACCAAAGGCAGCTAACAGTCAGTTGGGTTTCTTGGCAATGACTGTTAATTTACAGTAACTTACAATAGATGGCAATATTTATTTCAGATTCTTGTAAATAATTTTGATTTTAAACACTGTATTTGGAATCCTATGTCTCTACTTTATGCGCTGCCTTCCAGGATCCTTTAGTAGGCAGCTGGACAAGACTTTTAGAATCTGGAAGACACTTGTGCCAATTGACTCACCAATATTTACATCTATTCCCTAAGCAACTAGACCTACAAGATTCAACAGTTTAATTCCTCTTCAGTGTAAGCTTTTGGTTACAAATCCTAGCAGGTAGTTACTTTGTGCCAAATTCAAAAGTTTACTGTTCAACAATTTTTCTTCAGGTAAATTATTAATCTGTAGTGACACACTCTGTTACCTGTTCCAGAGGAATTCCTAACTCTGCTCTTAATCGCCTCTGTGCTGCTCGCCGAACACCATGGGCATTATTTTCTTCCAGTTCTAGTGGGGTGCTTAGTGGATGGCTGCAGCAAGTGTTGGTAAAACAATCTGTAAAAAGTTTGTGTACAGTCAGTATTCAGAACAGCAAAATACATTGCAGAAATCTAGTATAGAACAGCTGCATCACCAGTCCGTTTGTTTTTTTAAAAAGGTGTCTAAACACCCTCCACTTTAAAGCTTGAACATTCTTTCCTACTCCCTGTTTGTGTTTGAGAAAAAACAGAAACAGATTTCCCCTAATCAAATATTTCTAACAGAAGTTAAAATTAACCTAACTTTGCATGTTAGTGCCTTATTTGTGCTGCATTATCACCTTGGATAACAAATGCTGTCTCCCCAGAGGATCTCATCTAGTGTTGCAAGATCAGCTGGCAAAACCCTCTGCATTGTTTATCCTGTAGACTTTACCTGGAGTGTCTAAAAGTTTGATTAACAACATGCTAGGCTGCTGCACACTAAGTATTCATGTGGACCCTGCTGCCACACACTGCCCCAGAGCGTTTTAATCTACTCCAGTTTCAAAATGAGGTAGATCAAGGTGCACCAGGGTCCATATACATACTTAACCCATGGCAGGAGTAGATTCAAACCCTAGCTTGCTGCAAACTTAGCAGTTGCATAGACAAGCCCTTAGATTGGTAGAAAAGAGCACCCACCCACTGCACTGAATGTTTTCACATTAATTACAGATATTGTAGCATGGTAAATGCTGCTTGGTGACCAAACCAGTCTAAATAATCATTAAAACCCAGGTGCAAAGCACATGCCTGACTGCTTTGACTGAAGCAGCAATCTCATAATACAATGAGATTTTTCTGGAGCAGACAAGATTTAGACATTTTCAAGTCTAAGATGAGTTTCACAGTTCTAAATGGAAACGCATATTTAGGTTTCTCTGTAAGTTGTCTTGCCTATTGTTTTGACATTAATAAAGAACTAGAGGGTGAGAAAAAAGACCAAAGCATGAAAGGATAAAAAGAGGGAGGTTGCAGATGGCTGTGACGCTGGCAGGCCAGGTGCCAGGTCTTGCTAAAGCTCCAGGCATTAGCTAAAAACTGACAAACTCATAGCTATACAGACCGGACCATCTCACTTATGTGTTATCGTTGCTTAAAATCAGTATTAGTTTTCTAAGACTGTATTTAGTCCTTGCACCAAGGTTAGTCTATTTTTTTTCCAAGGTCCAAATTTCACGGTCAAGGTTCAGACTACAAAGAAACATTTTTCACACCACAGTAACAATAATTATAAGTAGTAAATAAACAAATTTTGTGGTCCATTCAAAAGTGTCTGATAGTCTGGATTTGGCCCACAGTCAGCCTATTGATTACCCCAGGCTTAGACTCTATAGTATGTTTGTTAGTTGCTGCATGCATTCATTTTATTTGTAATGTCTGTATTTCATGCTGTAAGGAAATACATAAGTTTTGCTTTATAACTTTGAAAATATTTGCTTTAAATTTGAACTCCGATGGGAAGAGTGTCTCCTGCCCACTCAGAATAACCATCAAAATCAGATGGGACATCAAGGAACAGTGCAATACAAAGGATTGGTGAAGGGCCCTATCACACCTTGGAAATGCTACATGCAAGGACACTCATCCTATGGAATTGGAGGCTGAATGAAGGAAATAAAACGAAGACTTAACAAAATTTTCCATCTCTTTGCTGTTTGAACTCTCACAGGGCCAGAGACCCCCAGGAGTTACACCTGGATCCACCCTGAAAGATACGTTAAATTGATAGATCACTACAGCTCTGTCACTCTTAGGACTTAGATTGCAACTCATTTGCATATATATGTTGGCTTGCTTTAACCTGCCAATAACGCTTATTTCTTTTTCCCAGTTCATAAACCTTTAATTAATTTGTTACAGAACTGCCTTAAGGTAAGAAATCTGATGAGGTTCAACAAGGACAAGTGCAGAGTCCTGCACTTAGGACAGAAGAATCCCATGCACCACTACAGACTAGGGACCGAATGGCTCGGCAGCAGTTCTGCAGAAAAGGACCTAGGGGTTACAGTGGACGAGAAGCTGGATATGAGTCAACAGTGTGCCCTTGTTGCCAAGAAGGCCAATGGCATTTTGGGATGTATACGTAGGGGCACTGCCAGCAGATCGAGAGACGAGATCGTTCCCCTCTATTCGACGCTGGTGAGGCCTCATCTGGAGTACTGTGTCCAGTTTTGGGCCCCACACTACAAGAAGGATGTGGAAAAATTGGGAAACGTCCAGTGGAGGGCAACAAAAATGATTAGGGGACTGGAACACATGACTTATGAGGAGAGGCTGAGGGAACTGGGATTGTTTAGTCTGCGGAAGAGAAGAATGAGGGGGGATTTGATAGCTGCTTTCAACAACCTGAAAGGGGGTTCCAAAGAGAATGGATCTAGACTGTTCTCAGTGGTAGCTGATGACAGAACAAGGAGTAATGGTCTCAAGTTGCAGTGGGGGAGGTTTAGGCTGGATATTAGGAAAAGCTTTTTCACTAGGAGGGTGGTGAAACACTGGAATGCGTTACCTAGGGAGGTGGTGGAATCTCCTTCCTTAGATATTTTTAAGGTCAGGCTTGACAAAGGCCTGGCTGGGATGATTTAGTTGGGGATTGGTCCTGCTTTGAGCAGGGGGTTGGACTAGATGACCTCCTGAGGTCCCTTCCAACCCTGATATTCTATGATTCTATATTCTATTGTCTTTGACATGAGATCTAAAGTACCAGTTGATCTGGGGTAAGTGACTGGCTTCTTGGAACCTGAATATTTTGGTGTAAGTGACCATTTATCACTAAGTCCAGCTTGCCTGGACAGCAAGATAGACTGGAGAGTCTAAGGGGACTGTGACTCCATGGAAACACTGATAGATACAGTGATCTAGGAGTTCACTTTTGTTACTGGCTTGGTGAAATCTAATTATAGTACATACCAACAGTCTGGGGTGTCCGTTCTGTTTTTGACAATCTGCCCTGAGATACGCACACTCAGTTCGGAGCCTCTCTAGATCATGCGATAGGGGCACGGTACCTTTTGATCAAAAGCAGTATTTTTGCTACCTTATGAGGGGGGTGGAAAGAGAACCACTAAAACAGCAGCGTCAAGTAAAAGGAGTCAGTTTTCAGATTCAACTCAGGATCGTCTTCCAACAGCTGAATATTTTTTTTCCTGAGAAACTTCAGTTGCACTTCTTTCCAAGTAGAATCTAAAGGATCAAATTCCATTTGCACAGGTAGTTGCATGATTTTCCCACTTTGCTTTCTAGCTCTTCTCTATTGAAAAAGTTAGTTACAAGCACTCCCTGGACCTGCATAAACATGTCTGCACATGTCCTTGGACAATCTCTCCCAACAGGTCTCTAATCCATGCTATAATTATTCTCTAATGCAAGAAGCTGATGTGCCTATACATTGGCTTCATCCTCTGGAAAAGCCCAAAACTAATTAACTTTCTCTCCTCTCCCCAAGGAAACTGATCTTAAAGTCTGTAGAGGAAGTTATGGTGGGAAATGAAAGAGGGGCACAAACACAGCTTTTTACCTTAGCAAGAAATGTTTACATACGAACCTGGAAAAGTAATTTTAGCATCTGATCTCTGCTGCAATAGCAACTTATCTTCTGTATTGAATAAAAAAACACTGAAAGCTCGGTGCAATAATCCTAAAACAGACATAAAAACATGAGTATTATTCTCCGATTAAAAAAGAACTGCAAGTACAATAGCAAAGATCACGGAACCAGAATAGGTTCATCTTTGAAAGGTTTTTTTCCTCAATCTTATGTACTAGAAACTTTTCTTAAGAAGTGGAAAAAAAGAAACACTTTCGATTTTGTATTTTGACCTGTGTTAAATGTTAGCTTTTCCTATTCCTATACATGCACAAATTTCTAAGTATCTGCTTCCAATATCTTATTACAATTAAGCTCAATGTTTCTGAAGGAAGTTTATCTAAGGCATGTTTGGGCAAGTCACTACCGGGGCTTAGTCCTTATGTGAGATTTTATATCAGAGAGAAATAATGTAGAACAGGCTGTTAAAATCCCAAACTTTACTTTGGAAGGCATCCAGCTCTCAATAATGTGCATAGAATAAGTAGTAGAATGTAAAACCAGAACTTTCCCAAAAGTGTTAGCTCTCTGTCCTTCTCCAGGACAAGCTCCTTGTTACTGTGAGTACACAAAAGCAATCTGCAAACCTTACATGAAATACCATTTATTGGGCCACCAAAAATAAAAAGGATAAGCATTCAAGAAGTATACAGACTCTGTTTCTAGTAGAGACAAACCAGCATATAAAATTGAGACAAATTCCCTTTTAACTCCCCTCTGTGAAGTGGTTATATTTTGCCGTTTGAAAAAATAAACCTACTAAAATAAAAGTTAATTACTGTCTTCTAAGACTTTTATTTTGTTATAATATATCTATTTGCTTATATTTTGTAAGTTAAAAAAAATCTAAGTGAGTCAAAAGCACCTTGCTAAATGTTCACAGCCACATGTTCCTAGTACTATTATCTTTATTCTCCCTTCCTTATTGCCTCCAATTGTTTGTTGTTCCCACTGTAGCATCTTGCTTTGAATGTAAACTCTTCAAGGCCAGGTTTATGTTTATTTATATATATCATACAATTATTAACATGATTTCCTATCAATTTAAACTGTACCTTTATCAATGTTTTCATTCAGATGGCAGTTTTTCTTGGTATCTGCACCAATCTTCTTGTCATTTTCATCAATAAGGATACACATCTCTGCCAAAAGCTGCACCTGCTGCTCATCAAGATTATCTGTGTTTACTTCAGGCATAGCTGTGGTACTTCTCTTTCTACTGAAAACAGTGATCAAAAGAGACAATCACTTGATGAGACTGAGGGCCAGCAAATTTAGAAGTTAGAATATTTCACACATCACATGTTCAGCCTTCAGAATTTGCTGCCATAGGTGGTAGACTCTAATACTGTGGATAGTTTTACAATAAGTTATAGTTATTATTTTGTTTAGAGAAGGATAAGCAAACTTTATTCTGATAAATGTAAATGGATTGGCTCAGAGATGAAGGTATTGGCTACCCCACAATATGTACTGTACTGCAATATTAGCTAGATGCTTTATGGATTTTTGTCTCTCTTCTCTGAAAGAGCAGGTATTAGCCCTAGAAGGACGCTGGATCTCTGATCTGATATAGGAAATCCTGCATCATATGGTACAGATCAGCTTGCCCAAACCAGATTCTGTAAACTAATCATATGGCCTGGACCACATGTACATATATGTATGTGAAGGGGGCACAGTTGCTTCCTAGATAGGAACTCCCAAGGACATGAAAGACAATGAGGCAATCTGGTAGATTCAAGGACTCAGTCTCCAACAAGTTACAAAGATTGTTTTGCCAAAGCTAGAGATTACCAGGTCAAAGGACTACAAATGGCTAAAAAGTGACATGACTCCTGCAAAGGAGGGTGGAGTTGCCAGACTGCCTAGGGCGGGGTGGCCAATCTGTGGCTCTGGAGCTACATGAAGCTCTTAAGAAGTTAAGATGCGGCTCCTTGTATAGGCACCGACTCCGGGTCTGGAGCTACACGCGCCAACTTTCCAATGTGCCGGGGGTGCTCACTGCTCAACTCGTGGCCCTGCCACAGGCCCTGCCTCCACTCTGCCCCCTCCCCAGAGCCTGCCATGCCCTCACTCCTCCCCGGGAGGTGCTCGGAGGGAGGAGCTGATGGCGAGTTACTGACCTATTACTGTGGCTCTTTGGCAATGTACACTGGTAAATTCTGGCTCAGGTTGGCCACCCCTGGCTTTGGGAGTTGTCAGTAAGCTCTGAGTAGGGAGACGAGCTGAGACAGAGAGAAGCTCAATGGAAGACACTATAAGAAGTCATATCTACCAGGGTCTCCATGTGAAAGATGGTTAAAAATCTGATAAGGTAAACATGTACAATCTGTTTTAAGATTTTTAAGATTTTTTTTTATGAAATGCTTGCTTTAAGGAGGTTGTTTGGTCACTGATTTACCATTGTCATTGCCCCACAGAGGGAACAGAATCGCAGTCTGGACATAAATCAGATCTGGTGAGATAATCACAGTTCATACACAGAAAAATGCAACTTAGGGCCCTGTCAGAGTGGGAGAATTGCATGATTCCACCCTGAGAGACACATGACAACTACAGGCCCGAAACCAAGAGGGTGCGTGCTCAGAGTGTACATCTACACTGTGATAAAAATAACTCACAGAACTGGGTCTTAGAGCCAGGGTCATCTGAGTTAGTCTAATAGAACTTGAGCTGTGGGGCTAAAAATTCCAGTGTAGATGATCAGGCTTGGACTGGAGCCAGGGTTCTGAGACCACTATGAGATGTCTTATCGCAGTGTAGTAATAATGAGACAGAGCAGAGAGCAGGAGTCTGAGGTGCAATATGCCCAGAAACTAACATGAGGCAGTGGATTCTAAACAATTTTCTAATTAAATACCTTTTTCATCCTATTTTTTTCCTGCGCCCAAAGTGTTGCACGATCTGCTCAAGGTGTGATAAGTTTGTATAGAGACTTTACTAGTGCTACAAATCAAGTTATACTTTTAAAAAAAGGAATTAAAGTTAGTTATAGGTGATTTGTCTTCCCCTAAGGCTCCTACAAATGACTGAGGGTTTTACAGTCACCTTTTACAATTTTAAAAAATTGTTTCATTTTTGCTTTGTGACAAACCCACACTACCGAGTGGAAACAGTGATGACGACTAGACAACGAATACCATCAAATGTATCAAGGAAATAGTTTCCTTTAATCTCCCTCAGTTACAGGGACTCTTCAGTATTGCCAGCAACACTGAGAAGCAGGTCTCCGACTGAGGTATGATTTAAGATGATGGTGACAACAACCCTTCAGAGAGATGATCCAAATTCTCTATGAGAAGGTTGGTCCCACTGCAACAGTGCCAGCCTCACACACCAACCTACGCAATCGCAAGAAAACACCCAGCACAGAAAGATACTCCTGGGGCCTCAGGCTGGGACCAGATGAAGTGGATGAGGAGTTACAGCTAAGGAGAAGATTCACCCGCACTAGAAAGAGCCAGGGGTGTAAAAGGCCCTTCCACGCAAAATCCCCTCAACCCCACCTCCATCCCCTTAAGCCCCTGTTCCCCTGACACTCCCAACCCCACCCCAGTCCCCAATATCACCCATCCTCCCTCCCCGACACCCCATCCCCAATCCCAGAGAGCTCAGTAGCAGACCCTATAGGAAGTCAGATAAAGAGATTGGGAGACCTTGGTGTGAGACCCTCCCCAACCCTGACACCCCCCATCCTCCTAATTCCTGACACCCCTCCGTTCCTGTCCCCCGGCATCCCCACCACCATCCTGCTATCCCCGATACCCCCATCCTCCTGTCCCCCGACATCCTCCTGTCCCCCTGACATCCCCACCCTCCTAACCCCCCCAACATCCCCTCATCCTCCTAACCCCCCCACTCCATCTTCGTATCCCCTGACACCCCCACTCCCGTCCCCCACGACATCCCCTCCCCGTATCCTCCTACCCCGACACTCCCACTCCCGTCCCCACAACATCCCCTCATCCTCCTAACCCCCCACTCCATCTTCGTATCCCCGACACCCCCACTCCCGTCCCCCCGACATCCCCACCCCCGTAGCCTCCTACCCCCGACACCCCCACTCCCGTCCCCCCGCCACATCCCCACCCCGTAGCCTCCTACCCCCTGACACCCCCACTCCCGTCCCCCCGACATCCCCACCCCGTAGCCTCCTACCCCCTGACACCCCCACTCCCGTCCCCCCGACATCCCCACCCCGTAGCCTCCTACCCCCTGACACTCCCGTCCCCCCTGACATCCCCACCCCGTAGCCTCCTACCCCCTGACACCCCCACTCCCGTCCCCCGCCACATCCCCACCCCGTAGCCTCCTACTCCCTGACACCCCCACTCCCGTCCCCCCCGACATCCCCACCCCGTAGCCTCCTACCCCCTGACACCCCCACTCCCGTCCCCCGCCACATCCCCACCCCGTAGCCTCCTACCCCCTGACACCCCCACTCCCGTCCCCCCGACATCCCCACCCTGTAGCCTCCTACCCCCTGACACCCCCACTCCCGTCCCCCCGACATCCCCACCCCGTAGCCTCCTACCCCCTGACACCCCCACTCCCGTCCCCCCGACATCCCCACCCCGTAGCCTCCTACCCCCTGACACCCCCACTCCCGTCCCCCCGACATCCCCACCCCATAGCCTCCTACCCCGACACCCCCACTCCCGTCCCCCCGACATCCCCACCCCGTAGCCTCCTACCCCGACACCCCCACCCTCCTGTCCCCCCGACATCCCCACCCCGTAGCCTCCTACCCCGACACCCCCACTCCCGTCCCCCCGACATCCCCACCCCGTAGCCTCCTACCCCGACACCCCCACTCCCGTCCCCCGCCACATCCCCACCCCGTAGCCTCCTACCCCCTGACACCCCCACTCCCGTCCCCCCCCGACATCCCCACCCCGTAGCCTCCTACCCCCTGACACCCCCACTCCCGTCCCCCCGACATCCCCACCCCGTAGCCTCCTACCCCCTGACACCCCCACTCCCGTCCCCCCGACATCCCCACCCCGTAGCCTCCTACCCCGACACCCCCACTCCCGTCCCCCCCGACATCCCCACCCCGTAGCCTCCTACCCCGACACCCCCACCCTCCTGTCCCCCCCGACATCCCCACCCCGTAGCCTCCTACCCCGACACCCCCACTCCCGTCCCCCCCGACATCCCCACCCCGTAGCCTCCTACCCCCTGACACCCCCACTCCCGTCCCCCCCGACATCCCCACCCCGTAGCCTCCTACCCCGACACCCCCACCCTCCTGTCCCCTGACACTCCCACTCCCGTCCCCACATCATCCTCCTACCCCCCGCCTCCCCCGCATACTCTACATCACCAACCCCTGTCCAGACCATGCCCAAGGTCTGCTCCCGTTAGCGCCCCGCCCCGCCACTCCGTTTCCATTACTCCCTCCCCCATCGCCCCCCCGGCCAGAGACGCTGCGGCAGGCGCCGCCGCTGCACTCACCCCGCGGGGCTGTCGGCCCGGGCCTCCTGTCCCAGCAGGCTCCCGGCGGGCAGTCGCGAGGCGTGAGAGCGCGCGGCGCCCCTGCCACCCACAGCCGCCACAAACCCGCACAGCGCGCGCCACATCGCCCGTCACCCCGCTCCCGCCAATAGCAGCGCCCGGAAAGCCGCACGTCACCGCATCGCCCGATCGCGCCACCGCGCCTCAGCACAGGGCCCGCGTCCGGGCTGGGCGGAGTCCCATCCAGCCTAGCCAATCACAGCTGGTACTGACCGAAGAGAGAGTGAGAGTAGAGGAAACGGGAACAGCCAATGGCGAGCGAGGGTTAGGCAGTGACTGGCCAATGGGGAAGCGAGGATGAGGCTGAGCGTATGGCCGTGGAGAAGTTTGACCCTGTGTCTTTGCTGCAGGAACGACCCCCGGAATCTAGGGGGTTAATCATCCTGGCGGTGCACGTGAGCTGGAATGAGACTGCACTATGACCAGTGCGGTGCTGGCCTGGCATGGCCTGGACTGTGTGGCCTGAGTCTTTCTTCACAATGGAGCATTAACTCTGAAACCTACAGAGGGTAACTCAAACCTCAGCACTGGGAACCATCATGTCACTAATGGCCATTTTAGCAAAAGCATCCAGCTAATGTATTGATTCCCCATAATCCTGATCTCTGTCACGCTTTAGGTGCCCCCCTAAAAAAGTGCTGGGGAGGTTATTATTTGCATTGCATTAGCATGTAGGCACCCCTGTTATGGACTAGGACCAGATTGTGTTAAGTATTGTACAAACACAGAATAAAAAGATTATCCCTACCCCCAGAGAATTTACAGTCTAAGACAAGAGACACCAAAGAGATACAGAGAGAAGGGGGTGCATAAGGAAATAGTGAAACAGTGGGGCTTTCTGCAGAATTTAGTTTTGATTTTGCAGCAGCATATGTGAGTTCTTGCTTAGACGAAGCAATACAATCATGGAGTATTATAAAGTTATGAAATTAAAGCACATATGGGCCTTTGCTTATAAGAATTAGGGTTTAACATGTTTAGTTATGTGAATAGTGTGAAATATAATGTTCTTACTTGCTCATGTCCTTGCTTTTAAGTGCTTGAATTTGTAAATGACATGTTAACTAAGTTTACTGTTGCTTAGTGATGTTAAATTATTTGGAAACTAAGAGGGGTTTTTTGGGTGGCTTTTCCAGTGGGTTTATTAAATAAAATGTATTTAGTAACATTTAAATGAATTAAATGAGCTGTTCACCAAAGTAAATTAAAGGTGATGCACAAACCTCTAATGGCTCCTGAGGACCCTTGTCTCATTCAGTGCACACTTCACCAACAAATTCACATAGCTGTGGACATTCCAAAGAGCTCAGCGTGGACAGAGTTAACCACCACCTATGGGCCTCTCCCCAAATCCTGCAGGTTGGAGTGTCTCACAGCTAATGCTTCGATCCTCCCATAAACTCTGCAGAGATGGACCCCTGCACTGCATGAGCCCTAATACCTTAAGGTGCTTGAGACCCCAACACACATCTCTGTTGTACAAGAAGAGTCCTAGTTTTTTCATTTTGAAAGTCTGGCCACATTCCTCAGTTGCAAAGTGCTACAAATGGAGTGGATATCCCTTCTTAGCACCTCTCAGTTCCCAGCAAAAAATTACTATTATCTGAAAGTTGCCAGTAAGCAAAAGGGAGGTCTGCAGGGCTGCAGCCCAGGAAGGAAGCACTGGGATGTGTTAAGGCATGGCCCGTGGTACCAGGGCAAAGTGCAGGTCAGAGAGGGTAACAAAAAGTACCACGCAGCTCTTCAGGCGCCCATTGCCCTGTTCTCCATGGAAAGCCTCCGCACCCATGCCACTGCGCCCCCCCTGTCCTGCCTGTAGCCTTACCTCACAGCTTCCCTTCCTAGCCCTTAGCACCTGGACTCCAGCAGGGTTCCCACGCTGGGTAGGGATGCGGGTGTCTCAGCACATTATCTCCTGTGAGGGTGGTGGGTCCCAGAAGCAGGCAGGTTAGTGGGACTGCAGCAGGGAAGGTAGCTGTGGAACGTGCTGAGCCTGACAGCAGGATGCAGCTTAAGAGCACAGAGAGAGGTACTGTGCACATCCCAGCACTTTCTTCCCTAGCTGCAGCCCCGCAAACCTGTCTGTGGCCAGGGCCTTTTTTCCACAAAGTTGTCAATAAGCAGCATGCCTGTTGCCAGTAGCTGAATGCCATTAACATGACAGTGTGATGGGGTTTTCAAATCCCACACAGGCAACAAGGGGTTAAGGAACTGCTCTGGACTCAGCCAGCCCCGCCCAACCTGCAAGAGATGCCCAGACTGGGGGAGGAGTTAAAAGGGAGCAGAACAGCTCACTTATGATAGACCATGGCAGAGAGTAGACCTGTAACTGTTATGAGAAGGCAGGCTCTTGCCCATCAGTAGCTGCTCAAAGGTCCCTCCCTGAGAGAATAGAAGATCTGTTTCAGGTACACCCTGAGAGGGAGGCACTTCCTCTTCTCTCTAGTATGTTTGTGTTAATTCCCCTTGTGTTGTTTAGGGACTACCTTGACGGGGAGAGACTTGGAACTGACTGGGCGAGAGGGCCAAGTCACAGGAGGAGGAAGCTGCAACCCTGAGAAGGAGTGCTCCCATGCCAAGCCTGGCCATGAGGCTGCACCCAGCAGTGAACAGACCTGCTTCACACCTCCTTGCTGCAGACTAAACTTTGAACAATAGAGGGGTAGGTGGAAGTGCCTAGGGAGGGCATCCTTAAGGTGTTCCTGGGTTTCAGTCCTTTCAAATCTCACAAGGCCCTGGGCCGGAGCTGGGCTCCCCTACCAAAACCCCTAACTCTTAAGCCAGGGGTGGGCAAACTTTTTGGCCCAAGGGCCCCATCTGAGTGGGGAAATTGTATGCAGGGCCATGAATGTAGGGCTGGGGTGGGGGGTTGCGGTGTGGGAGGGGGTGCAGGAAGGGACTCAGGGCAGGGGTGTGGGGTGTGGCAGGGGACTCAAGGCAGGGGATTGGGGTACAGAGTGGTTTGGGGTGTGGGCTCCAGCCCAGCGCTGCTTACCTCGAGCGGCTCTGGGGTGGCAGTGGTGTGCAGCTGGGCTAAGGCAGGTTCCCTACCTGCCCTGGCCCCACGCCACTCCCGGAAGTGGCCAGCATGTCATCTTGGCCGCTTGTTAGCTTTATGGCTTTGTTTGGCTTGATTACATGCGGAGGTAGTCAGACAGGTACATGCACTTTCTTCTGTCTAGGGCAGGCTAGATGTATGCACTGCCTCCCAAACACATTTAAGAATGTATTTCCAGTACACACACACAACTGTACACAATCTGTACATACATCATGCAATAATTTTCAGAACCAGTGTATCACCAGTTTACATATAATACTTTACAAAATTCCTTTTATGTACATATGACAACGACGGTGGGGTAGTGAGTGTGTCAGGCCTGATACGAGTAACAAACCATGGCTCACGAGCTGCATGCGGCTCTTTGACAGGTGAGCTGAGGCTCGTGGAGCTTGGGGCTTCACCCTGTGGGTGGGATGAGCCAGCGTTCACGGCTTCAGCCTAGCAGTGGGAAGGGGTGCCAAGCCTTGGGGGTTCCCCCTGAGAGAGAGGGATGAGCCAGCATTCGTGGTTCCAGCCCCGCAGTGGGAAGGGGGTGCCAAGACTTGGTGCTTTCTCCGCAGTAAGGCGAGCCAGCGCTCATGGCTTCAGCCCTGCGGGGGGGCGCTGCGGTTTAGGGACACTACATTAATTTCGTGGATGACAATGACATCTTCAAACTGTAAGAAACGCAAGTATGAAGAAGAAAACTGAGTTTTCAGCCAGAATGGGAGGAAGATTTTGCATTCACTAGTAAAGGTGGCAAACCCCTGTGCCTAATCTGCAATGCATCACTCTCTCACGACAAAGCAAGCAACTTGAAATGTCACTATGAAACAACTCACAATAACTTTTCGTCTAAGTACCATCCTGGATCAGAATTAAGGAAAAATAAGCTAACCACATTAAAATATGCCTCAACAATCAACAGACACTACTTTCTGCATTCAGTAAGGAAGCTGACACAATGACTGAAGCTAGTTTTGTTATGGCACTGAATATCATTCGTGCTAAATGTCCATATTGTGATGGAGAATTTGTTAAGAAGAATATTGCAGAAGTGGTTGCAATTTTAGATCCAAGTTACACAAAACTTCAACTAATATGGCAAATTCCAATTTCGTGTCACATTACAAAGAGGCGGATCTCCCAGATTAGTAGTGGTGTTGCAAGGAACATGCAAAACGATCTAAAGAATTCTCTAGCATTCAGCCTAGCTGTTGATGAATCCACAGATATTCAAGATAAACCACAACCAGTGACATTTGTTCACTATGTTTCCGCAGATGTAATTATGAAAGAAGAAATGTTGGACTTAGTGGTGCTAAAAGAAACAACTTGTGATGTTGAATAAAGAACGCACTTGGCAAAACATTGACAAATGCTCATGTACCACTGGATAAACCTGTCAGTGTTGCAACAGATGGAGCACCTGCAGTGGTGGGTGAAAAAAGTAGGCCTTATCGGACTCTTGAAAAGCGATCCCAAATTTCTGGAATTTCTCTGGTCATTGCATCACCCATTATGAACATCTCACAGGCAGATACTTCAAGTATGAAAATAGTCCTAGAAATTTCATCCACTCGAATGGGAAGAATCATTGACAGCTCAAAAATTTTATTTAAGAGTTGGATCTTGAAGACAAACCTAATGACCTCTCTTTGTATTGTATTTTGAGGTGGTTATTAACCAGCAATATCTTAAATAGGTTTGTGGAATTGTTGGAGCATATAGGTGCTTTCCTTGAAGAAAATGAAAAAATCCAATCCACAACTAAAAGATGAGCAATGGATGCAGGATCTGATATTTTTCACTGATATTATGCAGCATCTGCAAACTCTCAATTTGGCATTCCAAGGGAAGGATAAGATTATTTCTGACCTTACTCAGACAGTCTTCAGCTTTCAGAACAAGTTAAAGCTTCTGCAAGGAGATATAGCATCAAGAGACTGCAACCATTTTCCCCATCTCAAGAGTAGGGTAAACACATTCCCTGAAATCAAAGTAGAAGATCACAAACTTGAGGAATACAGAGCTAAAGTACAAGGACTGCTTG